GCATCTGGTCGCACGTACCACTGGACTGAGTGGAATACTTCTTCTGTTTTACACCCTTTACCCAGACATTTTTGTTTATTTGTACTGTTTGGTTCTCATTGTGGGTTTTATCTTGGCTCAGAGATCAAATGGAAGCCTGCAGATCTAGTAAGTGAAGAGCAGAATTGAAACAAGATGCCCTCACAGCACACACCCATGTCACAGTTCACAATAAATATTTTATCAAGATACGTATTAATAAACTGAAACTGTGTTTCCATGTTGTTTTATAACACCTAATTTTGCAACTTTGTTCCTTTACAATTATGAACATATAAAAAGTTTATCTGTGTGCACAGTAGCAGCACCAGTGCCAGAGACTGTATGCTTCAGATACTTGCTACGCTAAAATTCTAAAATCAATGTTACTGCTCAAAGTGCTTGAACACAGACTTAGGAGGTCTTTCAGTTTTCAAAACACAGCTTCAAAAATTTTTTTTTAAAGAACCAAAAAAACACCACCTACCTATCTATACACACACTTCTAAATGCATCCTGACTATTTTGGAATTGAAAAACAGTTTTCTATCTTTAAAGAAATATATAGTAAAAATGATACTGGCATGGCACAACTAAGGAAATCAACACTGCCCCAGTCCTAAGGCACATTTTTCCTTATAAGCTGCAGCAGAATCTGAAGTTCATCAAAAGTGCATCAGTGTAAATCTAAACAGAACAATCTTGATGACATATATGTGCTTTGTGTAGATGCATTTCACATTCTCTATCAAGTTATTTTATCCCCTGTGGAAGTTTGGGCTGCTAAATAACACAACTTTGGCTCTCATTTTTAAGTAGCTTACAGACCCCATGTACATTACCAATGTCTGAACAAAATTTACCCCAGTAAAATACAGCCTACAATAAGCTTTGAATCTTCACCAAAGTAGTGAGTATTGTATTGTAAGATACAGAAAAAGCTTTGAATGATTATGCAACATCATATCTGTGCCACCACTGAACTTTTTTATCATTTGAATTTAGATATATTTTATTTCTATTAGCTATTTTAGCTGTTATGGGTGCTGTGCATTATAATTCATACAGACGAATGCGACTTGGGTTTTATCTGTCAGAAAACATCATTTCCTTCACTGTCCACTGAGCAAAACAAAAAAATCCATCCGCGACTGTGGGATATTTTAAAAATATCGTTTCCTCAAGAGGTGTTGAATTATTCTCACCACATACACAGTGTGCAATTGGCAATAATCTTTTCTCCAGATTGGTAGAAAAGGGCACTGAACACTGTAAGATCACCTCCTGCACATTTCAGCTTAAATTAAGGGTTTAAATTAAAATACTTTATTATTTCTCGAAAAAGAAAGTTTCAAAACTATCTTTAAACACTTCAAAACATACTTTTTTAATTATGCCACACATACAACAGTTTTGCTACACACTTGAACTTCTTCATACACAGACACAGATTACCTTAGCAGCACAGTATTTGTTTTAAGCACAAAGTACCACCATTCTATTTTCTCTGAAGTTGTGCTATTAAGCTGCTCAGACCATTAAAATAACTTTAGTATGACCATTCTGAAACTTTCTAAAACAGAAACAACAAAACACAAGTAGAGGGTTTTGGCAACCAAGTCCTGCTGGGATCACTCTTTGGAATATCATTTGAATGTCACAGTAGGTATGTGAACAGAGTTCTTTTTATGTATATATAGAAAGGGTAGCTGTTTTATTTTCTCTTTCTCTCTCTCCCCCTCTTTTTTTTTTTTCTTTTTTTTTAATAGTGCAACGAAAATATAGCTTCAGTGAAGACATGAGTTTATGTTCCCATGTGAATGCAAGTGCGACAAAAGAATGCAAGATTTCTCCAAGTTCTCCTCTTAAAGTGCATGATCCTACAGCTAGCCATGCATCAGGAACACTGGCTACCCACCAAGCAGATCAGAAATCTTAGAGGGTACCCAGATTGACCAGTTTTATTCACCACTCTGCTGGAGACACATTACCAAGTTACATTAGAATATAAGGCAACCTTTTACAGGTAATATCATTCACAGCATAAAGTGTAGCCTAACCAGCATCATCCCATAGCACACCTCACCAAAAGGACTGTCACAAGAGCCATGTGTGTGGGCTTGATAGACTGCCATAGGCCAACGGTGGAAAAGCACGGGGGCTTCAGAGTCAGCCCAACCTCCCATTCCTCTTCTTCTCCTTGGGGAAATCTGAAGCATAATGGAAACCTCTCAAACTTTTAAATCTCTATATTACCTGACATCTCATGACGTAAGTTACACTATGTTATTTGCTCTCACCTTATGTTGCGCTGATGGGATGTTCCACAGCTGGCAAGCAGCTGAATATGATGCACTGATATTCTTTAACTGGTACACTGTAAAGACTAAGCAGCAAAAAGTAACAAGGGCTGATGTCACTAGTAAAAAGTCACTTGTAGAAGTTACAGGAGCAGAAATTTTCTTCTCCTTAACAATATGTTAATAAAACTGCATGTTCTGCCTCCATAAATTTTGTTTATGTTCTAAAACCTTGAAACTAACATTACTACTGTTGTAGTACTCTACTGTTGTAGAGTAGCAACCCTAATTAAAAGTACTTTCTTTTTTCCTCAAGTGCCGAAGTCCTAAATCAAAACAACTACACGTGAGGCTCACATCAAACTCTGATGTCTGTTTGGAACATGTTTAAGTGAGAACAGAAAATACCAATCAACCCATAGTGTTTGTGTAGGCAGCAAAATGAGAATATTTCCCATGAACTACACCCTGAGGGAGAACTTCATTAGGATATGTACAAAAGATATTTGAAAAATAAATAAATAAATAAATGGGGAGGTGGGGGGGGGAGAGGAAATCAAATCACTAGAACAGGAATCTCAGCTCCTTAAAGTGCTGTGCTTTTTTGCTTTTTTTCTTTCCCCTCAAATATTTATTTTCACAACTAAATTGTATGCTTTTTATCTTGTTTCCTCTTTTCTTTTCCTGAAGTGAGCCACTTTTGTTGTTGTTGCTGACAAGTCAAAACGTTTCTGTTCAAAGCTCAGTTGTGGGTCTTAGAGAAGATTTTGCATCTGAAGAGCTGCTCATTCCACTGCACTTTACAAAGGGAGTATCCCACAGTTTGCAGACTGTGAGTCACTGCCATTGCATCTGTGGCTCTGAGACCAGATTTCTTTTGCTGTATAGGCAGAAACACTGCTTCATGGGACTCTGTGTTGCTCTTTATTTGTTAGTATGACCTAAGTATTTCCAGTACATTCCATCTGCTGCCCACTCAGAAAAGAGGTCCCTTGGAAAAAAGGGTCTCCTTTCCTTCTCCTCTCCCCACTACTTGCATTGTACTGACTCAGGGCATTTCTGTCAATAAAATGCATCTTGAATGCACCTACTGTGCCAGGACCACGTTGCCTCCTCCGGCCTCAGCAATCTCACTGAACTTTTTGGGCCTGTCTGTATGCTCTACACTTTATCAGCTCTTGCGCCCCAAACAAAATCACAGCTAAGAAAATGGTTCGATTTATGATAATCACAGCACACTCCCCATTCATAACACAAAGACATATGTGCTTTCATAACGGTGGCCTCATCTTTCCAACCAAGGCTATTTGCATACCATTCAGAATGGTGGAATACAATACCATACCAGAACTTAAAACAACTTTCTAAGAGTTGACAAGAGTATTTATTTCATGTAAAGAAAGACAAAAACAAAATTAGCTCAATTGCTGTGCTGCACACTTACAGAAATGGTGAACTTTGGTCTGTCCATTAGGCCTTAATATTTCCTGGGATTTTGCTATTCCTCCATAAAGAAAGAGAAACCTAGAAGCTTTTTGTTTCTTTGTTTCTGTTTTTTTTTTTTTTTTTTTTTTTTTTGTTGTTGTTGTTTTGTTTTGTATATAATTTGCCACAATTTCCAAAACTCACATGAGAAAGTTACATTGGCTGCTCATGCAAATATTGAGCTAGATGCCTCCAGCCTCCAGAGGAAAAAAAAAGAGAAGATAAAAATACAAATACGCAGTAACATAAAATCAAATTAGCCAAATATGGCTGCATCATCTCTCAAATGGAAGAAAAACCCTGAATTCACAAGCAACAGAATAACCACTATCCCATTTCTTATTCTTTTGTTCCACAGAATATTTTGGAATTTTTTTCAGGGAAATAAGTATCAAAAAAATAATTCAACACATAAGCAAGCTGAAAAGTTGCCTATTTGTAAGTTATGATACAATTAGTTGCCTATTTCTACGGACAATTAAGTTGTAGTATAAATTAATACAATTTAAATGGGAAATTTTAGTATGTATTACAAAGGAATATTACAAGATTGAGGGTACAGCCAACTATTTAGCAGCAGATAAAGATCTTCTGGTAAAAATCTATTACTCAAACTTCTAAAATATTATTAAAGTAATTATAACATCACAGTTACATTTTTCCCCATAATAAATTATTTTAAATCCCCGGATAATTTTTTTTTTTTTTTTTTTTTTTTTTTTTTTTTTTAAGTGCAGATGAACAAGAAAATTATTCTTAACTATGTATTATTACATATCATAACACAGTAATATTAGTTCTGAAATTCTCACGTCAGAAGACTCACAGACTGAGCTGAGAAAGATCCAAAGGCTATAGAAATTCTTTTCTCTACATAACAGAGTCATTTTCTTGCACTAGCATTAAAATAAGTCTTTGCTCAAAGCCCATGCATCAGTGTAAATCACACCAAATTCCTACTTTGGACTTTAAAAGCTGTATAACCATTTTGTAGATCTTTGCATGTCACACAAAGGTAACCCATGGGTCTAATGGTCAGCACAAGATAATTCATGCCTTTTAAATCCTGCATTCTGGTAGCTGGAACTGAAGGGCACAGGCAAAGCTACCACACAGGAGGACTCACTGAGAGCAAAAGAAGGGTATGGGCAAAGCAAGCTAGGAAAGGAGAGAGAAGGAGACGTGCACATGGCTCACCTGGCAGCTGTTGCTGATGTCTAAGTAAACCACCAGAAGCAATCACATCTGCATTAGGCTGGGATGGAGAAGAGGATGGAGAAAAGTGGTGAGAAACATTTAACTTCCTCAGTAGCTTCCCAATTCTATACCTTCATATGCTCCAACTCATTTATTTTGATAGCTTTCTATGAAGCCAAATTAAGTCAAATATTTTCATTGTCCTGCCCCACACAACATTAATTCTTCACTTTGATAATACCCAAACAGAAATAAATTGTGTTTTTCATTTCTTTTCAAATAACTTTCCCACAAACTGGAGCATTTTCCATATGTTTGCTGTGATAATTCAACCTTTTTTTGTGTGTGTGTAATACCAAATGCCCTTATTTTGATAATTTGAAATAAAAACAGTTGAAATGCTACAGAGGCTGCATAATACAAAGTTGATAATATGAGAGTGCAACTCAGAATTTTCCTATTTAAATCAGGAAGGAATCAGCATCTTTCCATATCAAACCCCAGTGCACAAGCCGTACCTACTTGGCTATTTGGCATAGCTTAGTCCCAGCAGCAGTTCATTTAAAGCTACAAAAGCACACAGTATCTACATTAAAGAGACTGGCAAAAGGCATGTTTTCAAATGAAAAGGTTTAACACAAGCTTTCAATATCAGTATTTAACCACATAAAATAAAAGCCCCTAGATTTCCAGTAAAGTATTCGCAGAAGTGCTGAGCATTAGTGATCCCCTTCTGTGTGAGTTACAGGAGTTCAGCACCTTCAGAAAAAAATGGGGTACTCTTAATTAGGTCTGGGCATGAATGTAAAATCCTAAGATCTAAAATTATGCAAACTCACTGTTCATAATACATACAAATATCACTGAGGTGTGTGGGGGCAGCGTGGAAACACGACCAAGGGAAACCCTAGTGCGATCGCAGACCATTTTAAGGAAATGAAGTGCAATATAGATTTCAAAATGCAAGCTGAGGTCTTTATGTCCCAGCAGATAAACAATCCCATTTAGCAGTTGCATATGCCTACTAGTGTTATTACACTGGTTTTCTTTTCTTTTTTTAATGCAGAGAAACAAAGTAAAGCACTGTCTATAATTACAAGCCTGAAAATCGTATTCCTGTGTTCTAGTTTTTTTTCTTTAAGTAATACAATGCATCTTTGCAGATCTAAGCAAAGTATAAAACTGGAGATTAACATTGTTATGCTTGGAAATGTCTGCTATTGTAATGAAACAAAGCGTACATTCTTCCTTCCAAGATAACTTGAATAGTTTTCTCCCTATTTAGTGGAGTACGTTGCGTTTAATTGCACAGAGAACATGCTTGCCTTGTAGGTTATATCCAAGTAGCACAATTTCACTTGATTTTCAAAAGATGCCATCAGAATTAATTTCTAATAACAATGAATATTCTTCCCTGAGCTGGAGCAAGGTAAAAATATTTCTCTGAGTTAGAATGTTATTCACTTATAGATCACTCATCATTAAAAAAAAAACAAAAACAAAAAACAAAACCACTTGATAAGACAGACTGTTTTCTTTCTCTCTCTTAATCTCTTTCTCCTGTCTCTCCTTTTGCCTTTGTTCTTTGTCTATCCCTTTCATTTCTCCCTTTCAACTGCTAAGAAAAGGTGGACTCCAGTCAAATAGCACTGCTAGTACATATCATGTATGTATTACCTTATTTACAACATTTTTATGAATTATTCCTTTTTAAATGGAATGTATAAAGACATATTTTTCCTAGTTCCTAACAAAAAGTATGAAACAATTGTCTTCACTGATAGAATCAGTACTCAGATTCCAAAACAATAGAATCTTAAATCTCCACCCTTCGAACTGTTGCTCCTTTGCCTTTGTTCTCCACTTTAGTGCCAATAATTTTTCCAGAAGACATACTGTAAAAACAGACTTTAAGTTCTGGCCTTAACAAAAATATTTCCTTTCTTTTCTTAGTCATATTTTTCTTAGCAAGATATTTCATTTAAGCCATCTGCAAAAGTGAGTTTGCCTTTAAATAAGGAACTAACTCCTTTTTATTTTTACTAGTAGCACATACTACTTTTGCCTGGGTATACAGAGATGTTTTTGATCATGTCTTACACAAATGTTTCTATACAAATGCAGTAGTAGTAGTTGTTGTTTTTAATGCTTTTTTTGTTATAATTATGTTCATTTCTATTTTGTGATGCTCTAGCTAGAATTACTTTTCTTATTATTTTAAGGAATACGCACAAAATAAAAATGACAACAACAACAAAAATACAATCCATACAAAATAAATATGACTGCTATTCCCTCCAATAAAATTGTTTTTAATCCAAATCCTCACTGAATAAGAAACCAGTTGATTTGTACCACCATTAAAATTGGACATATAGTAGTACTAAGTAATAGTTATAGTAGTAAACATTTCTTAGTAAATAGAAAGAATAATTGCAATTTGCTCTAAAAACAAAATCAGCCTTTTCTTTTTCCTTCACTTACCTGTCTACTTATTATAAATGCTCAAGAAGTGCCAGCAGCAAAAATGAATAGCCCAACAAATAAAAGACATTAAAAAAGAGTCACTTCTAATCTTAAAATAAGCTAAACTATTTTATAAAGAGAACTCGAGATGCCAAGAAGATAGAAATCACAGCTGTGGGGAAGGCTATTCTCAAAGTCCATATACTGACTTAGAATAACAAAAAGAGAAGACAACTGCTTGTATTCACAGTCAAGCTCATCAAGTTTCTTCCTTTGCAATTTCTAGGCTACATAAAAAGTCTTAAGCAGTAAACAGTGTATGATTTAAATAAGGAGTGTATCTCGAAGCGTATCTTTTAATAAACATTTATTATGTGTTCTGAACGAGTGTTTACATATGAACTTTGATGTACATTTTCTCTGTATCTCTGCATCAGCAAATGAAAATTAACTTGACTTTGAGAACAACACAGTAATTTTATTTACATGAATTGCATTTTTCTGTATGATCCAGAAGCTCAAATTAGAATTTGCTTTCCTAGCAAAAATGAGCCTTTTGAAGCTGGAACTTAAAAAATAAGTATTTTGTCCAAGTAATGATAGCTAAACAATATGCTAAAAATCAAAATTTAAAAAATAGGAAGACCATCGTATGTTTATAAGCTCACTAGATATGCATAGTGGTATGTCTTCCAGTAAATCCACTATATTTCCTAAACAGGTCATAATATTTCAGTTCTTCTATAAGTATATTACACTTAGATCCTTGGAAGATAACTTACGTCACAGCCTTTCTTTATCACTGACTCTGACTAGTGAAGGCTCAATCATATCATAAAAGTTTAATCAATGTATGACCACTGTGTGTGTGTATGTGCGTTGAAGATGGCACAATCATTTTACAAGAAACAGAAACAGAAGCTCTATTTCCAAGCCTCAATGGCCTTCTAAACTTTGAAATCATATGCAATATATTCAAATTCTGATAATCCAACTACTACAAAGCACGCCACTCTTGGTCCCACAAATCTTGTGTCTTCCTCCTTTTTGTGACCTTCAAACTGAATATTAATGCATTACATTGCTCCTCACCTGCAAAGTTGCTTCTTTCTTTATCACTGTTTTTTGGCAAGTCTTTCCTGACCTTGTAAAACCATTCCTTATTCTAAAGATTTTACTTTACTCACTTGTACTGAGTATATCAAAACATTTTACTAGAAGTTGGATTTACTATAGTTACTAGACAGGCAATACCCAACAACCAGCAACATTTTTGGGAAAGTTTATGTATCTGATCTGCCATAGCCGTGCTATATATATAACTTCCTAGACATTAGTGGAACCAGTGAAGTCCCAGAAAAAAATTTATTTTGCGACATTTTGATCCTTTTGGACACGTTCTAATTTTCATAAAAGGTTGTGGGGCTTTTTGCTTTGTTTTGTTTTTTTAATCTTATCTAATCTACATCATTTGAGCTACACTGCACAGTATAGGCCCTTTTTTCAGATGAGTACCTTGTATGCAGTTTGAACACTCTCCATGTCTCCAAACTTTACTTGCTCTATTTCCTTCTAATTACAAGACACGTAGATCTGAATGGCATAGCAAGCCATATGTGTTAGTGTACTAGGTAACCTAAATATTAGGTTTGGAACTGTGTCATAAAGATATTGAAATGCTGTGGAGAAATATTAATTACTTGGTGTTTTTTGTTTTTTCCAAACAGAGACATAACTAGCTAAAATGATAATATTTAAGAGGCCCCACAAACCTGCACCCGATTATGTGATCTATTTAAATCGTATCTGCTCACATTTAAAAACAAAAGTCATCAAATCTGGAGCCAACAGTCTTCTCAGACAGACTCAAAAAACTGGATAGTCCATTTTTCAGATTCTTCACACCAGCCCTCCAGCATGTCGTTCTGCACGATGAGATACGGTTGGTCATTTTTACAATTCTCGTCAGATCAGAGAAAATACAGTCAAAAAAATCTCCCTATTTTGAGAGTTGCTTTTTTTAGGCATCTAATGATTTAAAAACTGTATAAATGACCTTTCTTTAAAAAATAAAAATAACACAAATTATACCTTACAAAATGAAAACACTGCTAAAATTAGAGAATATTTCAAAAACACTTATGTAAGCTACATTGCATTTTGTGTAAATGAAGGTTCAAAGCAGACTTCCATGAAATTTCATGAAAACAGTTCCATAACTTAATTGAAAACTATTTCATGCCAGAGATACTTTACTTCTCCATGAAAATCGGTGGCATGGTTGTTTACTATAAGTTATTCTACAATGAATGATGCTTTTTGTACCCTTACCATAACACGAAAAATTGTCAACTTTCAGGTAATAAAGCATCTAACTTTTAGTTGTTTTTCTACCTTACCAGGTAAAAATAAATGCAAAAAAAAATTACTCTTTAAGCACACATACAGGCACATATTACTAATTAAATTAAGTAATAGGAAGCAGTGCAAGAAGTGGGAAAGAGCTGCAGTGTTGATTTTCGTGCACAGCTGAGTGGATATAACAGTCTGTTGCCCTTTGTATGTTCCATCTTTATTCCTAGACCCTCACTTTCAGACCCTCCTTTGCAATGAGTTTGGCACAGATGCCAGGAATCAATTCAACTCAGCAGGCAAACAGCAAATTGTATAATTGGTTTTGGTTTTGAAATCACCAGGTTGGTGATTTCAACTAAGGTAAAAGAGCAAGTGACCACAGGGAGAGAGTGAAAGATGACAGGAAACTGGGACTTTTCAAATGTAAGGAAGTGGTCCAACTCATTCACTCTGTGATATGGAGCTGAGGCTTGGGCTGCCCAGTACCATGATAAAAGAAGCAGAAAAATGTCATTCTGTAGCTGGAGATTTAGATACCAAGCTTCTCCCAGAATTGCTATGCCAGTTTGTAATAGTGATTGAGGCCAGACTCCAACTGCAATGTCAGCAAGTTTGGAGTAATGGAGGTTCCTCTCCAGCAGTCTCCAAGTACAGTCTTTTCCCTGATCTCAGCTCCCTGGAAGTTGTCAGGGATATCACTACTCACACAAGCACACAAAGGTGGAGCCTCTGGCTCTGATTTGACAGACTGAGTAGTGTAACAGCTGGAGGACCTACGATCTACAGGAAAAATCAGATGTAAAAGTGGCAGCTCTAGTAGAATAAGACCTTGGCTCAGAAGAAACAGTGATGAAGCTGTGCTTAGGGGCACAGAGAATACCCAGGGAACCACAGATGTTCCTGGGAGAATGAAGCAGGGACTGAAGCATCCCCAGAGACCACAGTGTCTTCTTTGAGGTATCCCCATTTCTGTGGACTGCCGCCATTACTTAGCAAGTATATCCAAAGGTGGGAGGCTTCTCAGAATTGAGCCCTCTGTCGGAAGAGATTTTGTTACATGAGACTCATAACTTTTAGGCTCACTGCCATATTAAAGTCCCTCCTCTGTCTCTCTTGGTACAAGTCATTTACCACAGCTGAGAGAAAGATGGTGTTTGTTTTAAACATCCTTCAATAATATCTCTATTAAACTCTCCTGAATCTAAACTGCTAAACAAACAGAGAATACGTACATTTCTACTAACAGAATATGAGTAATTTATTTCTTGCTATAATTACCTCTACAAAGGAAAGGAAAATTTCTACAACTCTCTTTTCACTACATAATAAGTACAAAAATAATTACCCATCATATAGTAAGCCTAAAAAATAATTAGTACCTTCCAAATCCATCAGTTCCTACAAATATGAGAATTTCTGAGATTGGAGCAGAGAGATTTTCTTTAGAGGAAAGCATATCTTAGATCCAAAACTAATACTTTTTTTTTTCTTTGAAAGATGTCACAGGTATTATTCCAGAGGGGAAACTCCTAAATTTTCATTCATTTTTTTCATGCATATATAACTGTTATTGTAATAACTGATATTGTGTTAATATATTTGTTTACGTTGTGCAACGATAAACAGGACTAAATTATAGCAACTTATATCTGAGCTACAGAGTGCCTTCCTCTGCCATCAATACAAATGAGAGATGCTTACACACAACTCATCAATGATTAACTCCAGCTATTCTCAGAAAATACTACAGACAGAATGAAAAATCTCTGTAAGAACTAGCTGTGGCAATGCGACTGGTCTGTGCCGTGTTTTCTACACTACGCTTGGGATTCAAACAGGCGTTTTGGCAGGAGACTTGAATTGCTTACTGTGTGCATTCTGCCATCTATTTTTGCCCAGCAAGGGCAGCATGCCCAGCCTGCAGTACTCAGGTCATGTCATCTCTGACGTGCTTCCTGGGGTAGGACTTGTCAGAGCAGATGAGCCTGCCATTCTTAGTAGAATAACTTTCAGCACCAGACTCCCAGGTTACTTCCCACAATTCAGAGAGTTATTTCCACATTTCTTTTGTTCTTAAAACTTCTGCCTTAGTGTATATGATACACTATCATAGCCAATATCTGTATGTAAGAGGCTGAAGCCCCTCAGCTTTATCAATCCAGAAGAGGGTGGTAGCAAGATTTCTAAGATGCATAAAAGAAATGCCCTCTTTCTGACTCTACTTGCCTAAAAGATTACACGGCATCAATATGACCTACTTATAAGCAAAGCTGCATGACTCTTATAAGTACTACTATAGGACAGAACAGCAGAAAGATGCATACTTCATCTCCTAAGCTCAACACCAGACAGCAGCTGCTGCGGTCCTCTTTGAAGGCTCTGAGCAACCAACATTGTTACACACGCGCCATCATAATACAATACCTGATTTATATAAGGCAGCTTACATAAAGACTGCATTACGTTAGACAACTTCAAAGCAATGACCTAAAGTGTGATAAAGCCAGTGCAAAGAGAACAAGCACTCTTCCTCCTTTACGAGAAAGGAAAGGGAATGCAACTCTTGCTGTCACGGGAGCTTTGCCCCAGCCTCCTGCCTTTCTCTCAACCAGTATGCATAATCTCAGGACCTACAATATCTTCAGAGGAAAAGGGAACTTCTAGGAATAGGGCACAACCACAACTATGTCCTGCACACCTGAGAACAAGGAAAACAGACTTGAGGAAGTACTTGTATCTGTATCTTTCAGTATAAGCACTAATAACAGCTGCATTTATCTGGCAGTCCTCCTACCAAACTGTTATCTAGTGCCATACCTTTCTTAGTTAAAAGCACACCCTTAAAGATGGGTCACAGATGTAATTGATTTTTTTTTTTTTTAACCCGATGGATAAGTTGGTTTCCATTTACAATTCCATATAATTATTCGACAAGATGAAAGCTAGGTCAGAGAATTATGTCCATTAGTAAAATTTGCAGCAAAACCTAGAAGTTAAACACAGCTCCTTGTTCAGCATCTATGATTACACTAACTACTCCTTTATCCTGAGTACCTCCTTGACATTAGCCTCAAGCAGACTATAATAAAAATTATCTGTTGCAAGTATAGAAGTCTCAAATCAGTATTACTCTGTCATTTGGCAAACAACAGAAATGTCAGAATAGACCCATTTTCCCTGGAAAGTGTTATTACTCAAGGGACAGGCTACCATTTCCAATGAGAGTTCAGTATTGAAACTCTCATCTACTTAGTTCAGTGAAAGCTATTATATTTGGCAGTAGCATGAAGTAAATTTCCTTCTGAAGTACTCATTGAAAGTATGTTTTTATTGAATTGGCAGGCAAAACATTCCCAGGGAGCACTTTATTGGATAAAGAATGTCACTTTGACATTCTTTCCCTCAATGTGACAACATGCAAGAATTTATTCCGAATCAGATGTAATTATCACGTATTTATTCTCCATTTTCATTCTCACTTTAGCCTGTCACCTGTTGAGAAACATTTGCTGTCTGCCCTCTGCACACAGTACTGCTGCTTCTCATCAGGACAAGTTCTGTAGCTGTGAAAGCTGCTTCAAATCATTAAAAACAAACAAAAGAAAATCTTGAAACAGTGAATGTTCAAGATTATCAACTTATCATAGGAAAAAAAAAACATTTTACTACAGAGCCACATGATATCATTGCAATTCTTGAATGTCCTCGTGAATGTATGTGTTTTTAAAACATTTTCTTTGAGGACAATCTGAAACAAAAATCTCAGAAACTTTTTGAAACTCAAATAAATAAGAGGGAGCAGAAAAATAAGTGTTCAATGCATTTTGGGTGCGTTTAAGTACTTTAAATACTTGTGATATGCTGTTGTTGCTTCCATTCCTCCCCAGTACCATCCTCCTTCATCTAAGCCTTTTTTTTTTTTTTTTTTTTTGGAGGGGGAGGGGGGTGATATCTGTCACTTTAGTTGCAACTACAATTCAACTAAAAGATATTGGGAAAAAAACAAAAAACAAAAACCAGAGGTTATTAGCATATAAGATGTATATAGTAACAATCAAAAATTCTAATTACATATTTCATGCAAAACTTATGTAATCCAGGAAAAGTGGCTTGCTTAGTAAACTAAGCAAAGGAGGAAATGGAAAAAAAAAAGAAAAGAAAAGAAAAAAAAAAAGGACAGAAATTGTGGCAAGTATCTGCTGAAATTGGCTTCTTAGAACAGCCAGTCAGGTTACATGAAAATTGCAGATATTGTTAAAAGGAGTAAGAGAGTTTGACAGCAAAATGGGTAGAGTTGTTATTCCTTCCACACGCACACATCCTTTTTACATCTGCTGGGAGCAAGTTCTGAGTGTTCTAAATTGTCTGCAATTAAACATAACATAAAAATGAATTCTGTTACTGTTTTGTGGAAAGAAACTGAAATTCCCAGAGAGGCTGTAAGTTTTCAGCAGCCTCAGCTGAGAGCAAAGAAAAAGTCATA